ATTATTATTATTATTATTATTATTATTATTATTATTATTATTATTATTATTATTATTATTATTATTATTATTATTATTATTATTATTATCATTTTATATTTTAAATATAATTTTTTAATGTGGGAAAATGAGAAAATTCCCATATTTCTTAGTCTAATATATTTTATATCATAAATTTAATTTTTTAATAATACCACTATAATTTATTAAATTTAAATTTAATTTTTAAGTTTAAATATTTTGAACAAACAAACCAAACTGAAAATAGACCCAAACCAATACAACCCGAGCTAACAGGTTTTCACTAATGGTTAGTCAGTTCCGGATGATAAACTCTCAACTTAACTAGGTCAATTTGGTTGGCAAAACAACCTACAACCGAACTAAACCAATCCTTGAACACTTCTAATATCAACTAAATTAATATTCTAATATCTAATAAATAACAATAGTTTGATCTCCAATAATTATTGAAAATTTATAGCAAAAATACACAATTATTGAAAATAAATTTATAATGAAAATAAAATAGATATCTAATAAAAATACAATAATTACAAATATATAATAAATATGAAAAAATACTAAATTAGTCAATAAATAGTTCAATCTCAAATAATAGTTTAATCTCTAAAAAAATATTAATCACTAAATTAAAAATACATAATTACTAAAAATAAATTTATAACAACAATACAATCAATTAAATCTTAAATTTTAAATAATAGTTTTTTAATCTCCAATAATTATTGACAATTTTATATTAAACAGCAAAACAAAAATAGATTTATAAATAATTATTGATAATATATTTATAAAAAGTAAATAAATAATTACTGAAAATACAATAAATATTAATTTTCGTATATATAATTATATAATGAATATACACTATTATTGTAAAATTATTACTAAAAATTATTAATTTTTTGAAAATTATTTTCTATAATTATTAATTTATATAAGTGAAATTAGTTATTTACAATATTATTAAGTTATTTAAGTAATATTTTTATTTAAAATTTTAAAATATTAATTATTTATTAAATTTAATAATTCATAAAATTATAATTAGTACTATTTTTACATAATTCGTTATTAATTTTGTAAAATATTAAATTACTATAATATGAATATTATAAAATCTATTATAATTATTTTTCTACTTTTAAGAAATTTTTTAAATTTATTACATAATTTCATTATTTTAACTATTTAAAGTTTAGTCATGTTAAATATTTTAAATTTTAAATAATATGTAAAATATTTAAAATTTTCCATTATTTGAATTTTATTTATTTTAAAGTTATTACATAATATTAAATATTTTGTTATATAAATTTTTATCTATTTTAATAGTGCTTTTTACAAAAGAAGAATTAATAAAGTTTTACAAATTAACAAAATCAGATATGTTTTAAAACAAATTGCAAAAATAGATGGCGGGATAAAAAGTCAAACTTTATTTCCTGAACTTGCCCCTTGTTAAAAGCCCACC